TGAAGGAAATGGAACAGGAAGGAAATTGTGGTGATTTTTACTAGATCATGCATCCTCCAGCACAGAGCTGCCAACTCCGTTCTCTGTGGACCTCAGGTTCAGTCAGGCCCCATTTCCATCCTTCTCTGAACAGAAATCCAGTCATTCACCCCACTTCTCTGGAAACTTCACAGCACTTGGTAGCTAACATGAAGATAAACCATGAGTACATAAGTCGAGGTCACCGATAACTTTGGTACAAAGCTGCTCCATGTGTCTAGTTTTTATAAAAGGATGACGACAGGGTCTCTCCCTCTTGCCTGGATCTCAACCCTCTTGCTGCCTGCATCACAGATCAGCTGCAGAGGAAGCTGTGCAGATGCTTTGTGTTGCACATCAAGGGAACATGTCTCCTGCTTCTCACAAGCAAGGGTTATTTTTAAAATGTGCTATGGGAAGTATTTGAATGCAGACAACACTGAGGCCTTTTAGAGAGCTGCTTACAGAGCAGATTCCTCGTTCTCTGTCTAATCATTTCTATTTCATGGCTGACTGATTTGTCCCCAGTTTCCATGCTATTGTGCCTCATAGTCAAGTGGCAAGAAATGCATCAAATGCTGGGTAAAAAGCAGAAGGTTCTGAATCTAGAAAAATGCAATGGCTCTAAACAAAATTGGACTAAGCCTGAACCATACTTCTGGCTTACAATACCACTGAACATTTTTTTTCTCTTTCAGTACCTGACTGAGACCAGGGACTCCTTCCGTTATACAAGCGTATTTTTTACACTCTGCCTGGATGATTTACAACTGAAGTAAAGGCAGATACATGACAGCAGGGGACCACAGACTGATAGCTAAGGCAGTAACTGAATCTGTGTATCTTCATCACAATCCAGAGCCTGTCCCCTAGGTACGGGGTCTGAACTTTATGGCTACTTCTAACAAGCTGAACTTGAAAGCAGTGTCCAAATAAACTCAAATTGTGGCAAAATTCCTCTCTCTACTTTTCAGGTTGGACCTATCCATGACATACCTACAAAAATCAATGCAATTCTTATTTATCCTTGTAACAAGACAGAAAAATGTCGCTTTACTATGTCCACATTTTTTACAGATGCTGCTGGTTTTATGATGCAAAATGGATCCTGTCTGGTTAACATCAAATTTGTCTTGATACATTCCTCTGTCTTGATGTGACTACGTGCACTACCGGGAGCTCACTTGCTGATGCAGGGGTGGTACCAGTATTCTGTCTGTTTGCTGGTTTTCAATAAATGTATCGTCCACAATTCTTTCGAAAGGACAAACTGAAAAGCTTGTTTTTTCAATTCCTGTAATTCTTACTTTTCAACTTCATTTTGGATGATTGGATGTCACAAACTTTCTTAATCATTGCCCCTGTGGGAGGCAGAGAGGGAGGATGGGCTTTGTATGCTTCGGTTTCTTTTAAGTCCGTTAGCAGTTTTTTCCATCAGTGGTCTCCCTCTTTTCCCAGCAGGATCCTTGCTTTCCCTAGCTAAGTTTGTGGACACCCGGATTCCAACTTGCTTGGGGGCTATGACTCACCCTCAGAAGGTTTGGTTGCTTTGGGGACTTCTTCTGTTGATGTACGCAACCAGCCATGATGCACTCTCATCCTTCAGCTCTTGCATTCCCTGTCTACTCAGCTGCTCCTCCGTGGGTAGAAAAGAACGGCTCTTTCCTTTTTAACATCAGCCATTTTAATGGAAGTTTTGTGCCATTAGGTACACAGATGATTTTTTCTAAACAAATAAAAACTTTATGCCTTTTCTTTCTAGATTGCAAAGCTGACAAAGCTCCTTAAACATATAGCCTGCCCTTGAGGGATAATTCTTAGTGTTTATCTGGCATGACAGCTGGTCATATTCATCACCTTCAAATTCTGTTGAAGCCAGTGGAACTTGAGGTTATTTGGGACCTTGCTATATTGTCTGCACATAGGATGAATCATTTTACTGACATACATTCAGGAACCAGAGTCCAACCTTTTGATTCTCTGGAAACAATGCCGTATTTCTCTTTTTTTAATAACGGGTCTTCCTGACCAACAAACACAGTGACCTGCACACACTCGGACTCTGCCGGACACTAAATAAGCCAGTTAGTGGCTTAGTCACCCACTATGGCTGGCCAACTCCTGTTTTTCCTAGGTTCTGACAAGCCCAGGTGACAGCATCCTCAATTTTCACATGCATAGTATAAAATTTGTCTGCTAAGAGAAAAATAGCCTCTATGATTTTCCTGACCAAAGTGACTTCAAGCAAAAATCTCCATCGACCCTGATTTGTCAAAACAGTCAAACCCTGAATTAGAAACCCAAACAACAACAACAAAATCTAGACAAGGGCACAAGTTAGATTTTGCTTAGCTTGTTTCCATTTATCATTTCTTGAGGGATGGAAAAACACCAAGGAAAACAAAGCAAAACAAGGAAACAAACCCAAACGACCACCAGGACCTCTGATTTTGCACCCAGTTGGCTTGGGGAGGGTGCTCTGTCCCGCAGGCCGTGCCCAGCCACGCAGCTGGCTCAGACTGCGCTGGTTTGGTGCCACCTCCCTGCCCTGCCTCTATACGTGCCCGAGGGAAGGAAAATCCCTCTGCCGGTGTTTCATAAGGTCACGCAACATTTTTACCCGCTCCCGGGCGGGATGTCCCGGTTGCAGGGCGGACCTGCCGGCGGGCAGCAGTAGGAGCC